GTGTCAGACAACCTCGCTGAATAAACTCACACTCCTTTCTCTTAGCCTCTGCCCCAGGTCCACTTTGGAGAATAAATAAGTGGATGGCTCTCCCAGGAGCATCCCAACCAATGCTTTGTTGCAAAAGGAGAAACAGAAAGTAATCTGGAAGGGCTACGTTTGAGTCAAACTGGATGGTTTCTGGTGTCGTTGCAGAAACAGCTTTCTGAAAACCTTGAATCAGTTTTCTTCCAGGTTTCCTTATTCACTGAAGAGAGCTAGGGAGAAAGGATGATTGCGTACCATGGGAGTGCTCGCGTTTATGCCTCCTTTCGTGTTGGCCATTTCTCTAGCGGTCTCGGCATCATGGTGCTTGAGAGTTTCATGAGTGAACCAGAAGGTCCCCGTCCTTCAGGAGCGTAAAACAGGGGGAAAAGAGGAATGGAATTTCTTTACACTACTGTTCTCATCATCCCTAGCTGGTGGAACAAGGCTGTTTGGAAAGCTGGAACAGGCTAAGTTTAGAGCAGATGGACAGGATTGAATTTGGTGGCATTCTTACCTTGATAAGAGCCTTTTTAGTACAAAGAACAGGTCTGACCAGTTGCAACTCCAAGGGCTGTGCAACCTCGAGAAGCTCAAGAAGCTACAGAAAAAAGATAAAGACTCACATTCTTTTTGTTTAGTCCAGTATTTCTCAAGCTCGTCAACTTTAAGACTTCAACTCCTGGAATTCCCCCAGCAATTCTGGGAATTGAAGTCCACCCATCTTAAAGTTGACGAGCTTGAGAAACACTGGTATAGCCTATATCAGCTCTACAGCTTGTTTTTGCTGAACGTTGGACCAGAGTTGTCTTTTGAAGACTTAAAAGAAAATAAGGGAGATCATTAAAAGGTCTAGCCTTGAGGGGAACAAAGGGGTCCTTCAACCCATTAGCAAAAAAGTGCCATGTTGGTTGAGCCTCATAGAGATTTTGCAGCCTAAGTCCCAGCAAATATTTAAGTTTTGGGACCGGGTTATTTGAGGGACCGCCTCACCCTGGTTACGTCTACCCACCCCATCAGCACCAGCAGGAGAGGCATGTTATGGGTCCCATCTAGGAAAGACTGTCATCTGGTGGGCTTTGAAAAATCAAGCCTCCTGCAAAGTCCATTTTTGATGCAAAGTGACTTTCTGGAAGAATGATCTTTGCTAGCTCTCATAGTAGGGAAGAGAGGTCTGCAAACAGAGGCTTCCTCCTGATCGATTGCTCGTGGAAAAAGGACACTTCCCCATGGCTCTGTTATGGGGAAGCATTTAGTAGTTCTCTGGCTCCATCCCGGATCTGTGGGGAGGAATTGATGAAGCCCACGCCTGATTAGCTGCCTTTGGGGGGCGATGCCGATCCTTCAAACCACCTTCCTGTTAGCGGGAAGGGACATGATTTGAGCAAACCCACCTTTTGGGTTCTTCTATTCATGTATGTATGTATGTATGTATGTATGTATGTATGTATAAATGAATGAATGAATGAATGAATGAATGAATATATATATATTTAGCAGATTTATACCACCGCCCATCTTGTGAGGGTGACTCTGGGCGGCGTACAGCAAAACCAACCATTCAAAACAAGTATTAATCAACTATTCGAAAACGAATCAAACGTCAAGAGAAGCAAGACTGCAGGAGAACGGACGACGACGTTTGATGCCCCTTGGAGTGGGGAGGGCCATGAATAACATCTCTCCCACCCAATCTGCCCGTGCAGAGGCGGAGGAAGAAACGTGGTTGCAGCTGGATTTGAAAATTTCTCAGATTTTGCATCTGAGAAACGCCATTTCAGAATTAGGGAAGGGCAAGCAGGATTTTCTGAGGGACATGCAGTTGGGGGCACAGCTCCACATTTGAACCTGATCCTGGGAACCAAGCAGAAGTATTGGGGATGGTTACTTAGAGTTACATACATTTATTTGCAATCTTAAGCTTTAGCAAAATGATTGGGGATAGTTTGCCCGGGGAGTTGGAAGCACCAGGCAGCCTTGGTTGACCTCAGAAAGCTAAGCTGGCACCGATCTGGTTAGGGCTTGGATGGGAGACCGTCCGAAATCTGTAAGACAGACTGGAGGCATCCTAACTTGACCTTTTGAGGTTCTCCAAATGTGGGGTGTGGCTGTCCAGAGCATTTGGTGGAGGTTTTCTGTGGGTTTGGAAATCGGAATTATAATGGCGCCTTTAGCATTGATCTCAAAGCTGATATGGGAATCCTTAGGACCTGAGCACTCAGTTGAATCTTTTTAACGTTGGCCTGGTTTGTGCGTTGCTCTAAGCCAGTGTTTCTTAAACTTTTTGCTCGCAGGGTCTCTTCCCACTATTAAAAAATACGAGGACCCCAAAAGAGCTTTTGTTCATATGGGTTATATTTATCAATATCCACCTGATTAAAAATTAAAATTGACGCGTTCGTAGAATATTTACCGAATCGTGTCAAGATAACCGTATTAAACCCATTAGACGTTAATAGAAATGAAATATTTTTCGTGAAAAACACTATTTTTTTTAACCCATACAACCTAAGAACGAGAAGAGTGACCTTGTTTTAAATTTGTGCAAATATCTTCAATATCTGGCAAATAATTTTGATTTCACGGAGCCCTGAGAGGGTCTTGGGGGACCTTCAGAGATCCTTGGCCACACTTTGAGAAATGCTACTCTAAGCCATGGTGGGCAGCCAAGAGCAGCATTTACAACTGGGGGACCTGATTAAGGGCCACATAGCACATGCGGATGGAGCTGGGGGGGTTCTTTGTTTAGTAATTGAGAGGTGTCTGTTTTGGTTGACCTTGGTTCACCTCAGAAAGCTAAGCTGGCACTGATCTGGATAGGACTTGGATGGGAGCCCATCCAAAATCTGTCAGCCAGCCTGGAAGCATCCTCATTCATGTAGCTTTTTTGGCAGCTGTGGGTTTCCATCGTTCTTGCTATCCTTTTCATCCGTTTCCCACCTCAAAAAGACCGGAAGCAAAATGATTTTGAGCATTCCTGGATCGAGGGTAAAGAGGAGCAGATGAGGCCACCAGCTGCCGACCCTTGAACTAAGCCATAATGTGGTTTGTCCACTTTTGACCTTGCACGTTGTGTAGACATAGCTAATTGTGGCCTGTGCAACAGAGTGTGCTTGAGCACCATGTGAGAACTCAGTCACTGAGGACACTTATCCTTTCAGTGATCATTTTGGCTAAGAGAGCAAACCAGGGTTCCTCAACCTCAGCAACTTTAAGACCCGGGGGGCTTTAACCCCCAAAAATCCCCCCCCCACACAGTGGGGTGGGGGAATTTTGGGGGTTTGATTCACCCCGCTTTAAAAAATAAT